CCCTCCCCTCCCTCCCCTTCCCTTCCCTTCCCTTCCCTTTCCCCTCCCCTCCTCTTCCCTTCCTTTCATACCAAGGCCTGAACCTAGGGACCTTCAAACTGTGCTATATTCCTAACCCCTTTTTTACTTTTAATTTCTGAACCAGGATCTTACAAGTTTGCAAATTTGGCCAGGCTGGGCTTAAATTTGGCGATCCTCCTCTCTTGGAGTGCTGGGATTACAGGCATGTGCCACAGCAAAGTGCAGAATTTAAGAACATAGCTATTTCTAAACTCTTTGCAGTTTTTCAAGGAGACAGGGAGGCAGCAAGAGAGAGTGGCCTATGGTCCTTATTTCACTTCCCTAACAGAGGCTCCCTACTGGGTATTGCCACCTATGTGATGTCTCCAAGCTGCAGCTGCCCTGAGAAGCTGGTGCCTTTCTGAAGCTGTGGGGGCAGAGGGAGGGAAGGGCAGGAGGCGGTCTGCAGTTTTCTGAGCTGGGGAGGAGGCTGGGCTTCTGGAGGAGCAATTACATTATCTACTCTAAGCCCAGGGAGCTGTTGGCACCTAAGGCTATTTCTATCCAAGTATAATGGAGTTTATTATTTGCCAAAATTCTGCTCAATATGGTGCCTTTTACAGCCAAGGATATTTGCTAATGAGTTTTTAATAAGGCCTAGGTTCTGTAAGATTAATTACATAATGTTTGGGAGAATGTCTAGAAAAATTAGTCTGGGAAGAAAGGCTCCAAGCAATGGTCTCCTTCCCTCCTCCCCAGGGGTGGGACTGTCAGTTATCATGTTGGTGGGAATTTCCCATATTTCAATGCCTTGTTCCATTTACAATAAGGTGGATGAAAAATGGCCTCAATATTTGAGCCCAGTTAGTTATCCCTTGATTATTAGTGCCCTGTGCTTCATAGCCTTCCAGCTAAATTAGAGTGGGCCTGTCCTCTGGGATTCACGCGTATGAAAGGGAGAGGAGGCAAATTACAGCTGGTTTTCCTGTAAACTGATGTACAAGAGCTGAGGCACAGATAATCCCCAAAGTGTGGTAATCCGTTTGGTCTGATGGGCCTGTCGGTTTGACAGTCTTACCTTTCCGATTATGTTTTGTGTGCGTGATTCAGATTTGTATTCTGGGAATGCAGACCCGTGAATGTGCTATGCCTAGATGGTGCCAGATTTATTCTATTTAGAATTTTGGGATTTGTTTTTCAGACTTAAGTAATGTTGGATCAGCACTGGACATGTAGGGAGACTCTCCTCTCAAAGGAAGTACTGCGATTTTCTTCATGTGGCCTGGGTAGGAAATAGCAATAACTTTGATTGTTGGCAATAAAATGCGATTCACTACTTCTGTATATTCTTAGAATTGAGTACTGCTTTTTAAAACCGGACAACCAAACATGGAGTAAGGTGAAAGATATGAAAAAAGGAGGCCCACTCATTCAGTATGATTGTTTAGTCTCTCTAAGAAGCTTGTCATCTATGTTTGCCTTGAATAATTACATGGCAAATGGTCTTCCTTTTGTATATATCACAACCAAAATATTTACCAAAAAAATAAATAAATAAAAAGTACAGCTATTTCTACCTCCCAAATGACCTACACTTTTGAGGTTTTGTTACCCAAAAGATAGCATTTACATGCTAATACCATGAAGTTTCCCAAAGGGATGACAGTGTAAACCCTGCTACTAATGGAGACGCAGATACTGAAATCATTCTCATGTTCAGATTTGCTGTTTTCAAATATGAGCATCTGGCCCAGCTTCTATATTTAAAACACAAATACATTAAGGCACTTTTCAAATCCACACAAAATACAGTGCCATTCTGATCGTACAAATTGATGCTTGTAAATTTGATATAGTCTCTAAAACAGACTCAGTGCTAAATGGCATGCTTATCTACATTAGGCGTTTGAGTTAAAAATACAAATTAGGCAGTGACTGCAGAAGATGCGATGTGTAAAATGGTTGAATTGCTTTCAGCACCATTTTCTCTAAGTACTGGAATTCGTTCATGCTTTGCATTTCATGGTGGGAGAGGAGCAAAAACGCAGCAGTCACAGAGCCTCGGAGGACAGTGATTAAGAAAGAGCCCTTTGTGTGTACCCTGGAGATGGAATTCTTTTCCATTAGTGGTCACCAAGATAAAATGCCCTCTTTTACATAGGTGAACACACTCAGGTATTTAGAGGACACTCTGGAACGCCGCCCAGGCAAGTCAGAAGCAGCTTTTGTACTCCTGGAGAGCCCATGGGGCTTTGAAATCAATAGATGCATACAGAGACGGCAGGACAGTAGTTAGTGCAACATTTACCATAAAATCAGTAGTGACTTGGCCAGAATTAGTCTTAAGATGTCCACCACCTTTAAGGACTTTTCTTAGGGATTTTAAAAACAGATCACACACAAAAGCTCTTGTGAAAGATGAAAATTCACCCCCAGTTATAGGTCCGATCCCCCCACCCCGTTTCAGGTGTTAGAAGCACAGACTTTCTTGGCAGGGACAGGCCTTAGAGGTTCCTCAGTTCCAGCTCTTCCTTTAAGGCCGAGGAACCGAGGTCAGAGGGGCGGCGCCCGCGGCGGGAGAGGGCTTCCCCGCCAGCGTCCGCCGGTTCCACGTTCTTTTTCAGACCCAGCCTGGCTTCCAGGCAGCGCAGCCGCGGGATGCGCCCAGGGACAGGGAAAGGCGTCGCCAGGACCCAGGCGGCGGCCGCCCGGGGTGCAGGAGCCGGACCGCGCCCCCGCCCGCGCCCGCACTCACGTGACTGCCGCTCCCCTTCCAGAAGCAGAAGGCCCCGACGGCCCCGAAGAGCAGCAGCGCCGCCCCCGAAACGAGGACGGCGGATCCGACCTGGAGCAGCCGCGCAGGGCTGGAAGGCTTCGCGGTCGCCGCGGCGTAGGCCTGCGGGGAGGGTGTCGGCCGTGTCCCGCTGCGCCGCGGTGCCCGCCTCGAGCCCCAGGGCTGGGGTGGGGCCGCCCGCCCGCTCGTCAGGGCCCCTTGGCGCCGGTCCCCCGGAGGGGCCCTTGCTCCCCGCTGTGCCGGCGCGGTGCGCAGACTTTTCGGGGTGCAGGGCCACCGCGCCGCGGCTCTGCACTCTCCGCCGCCACAAAGCGGCTGTGTATCTCGTGCCCCTTGCACACGCACACGCACACGCGTGCGATGCCACCCCGGGCACATATTTGGGCACCCACGTTTGCACCGTTCCCCCATCTCCAGCGGCACGAATCTCTGACCCGGGCCGGCGGGTTTGGAGGTACTCACCGGGGGACTGCAAAACTCCACGTCTTCAGGCCCCGCCAGCGTGATGGGAACCTTGTCGGAGTTCTCGGCCATGGCCCGGGCGCGAGGAGCGAGACTCGGTCAGCGGCGGGCGTCCTGGGCTCTGTCCGCCGCCCCGACGTGCAGGAGGTCAGGCCCCGGCCGGCCCGCGGGCCCCACCCCTTGCCGCGCCTCACTTCTTTCCTCCTCTTTCCCCGCCCTTGGGGGCAGCACTGTGGGCCAGTCCCGCATTCTTTTTCCTCCCTCGCTCCTGTCTACGGCCCCCAAATGACATCAGCATAAATCTGAGCGAGTAAGGGTGGTACGGCCCTCAGAGAAGGGTACTGTGTCCTGGAACCCCAAGAGATACTACATCGGCAGGACGAGAAGCCACCACGTGGGGTCCCCTGGAATGTCCCAGACCTCTTAGAACTCTTCTGTGACTGCTGGCCGAGGCCGTTTCCCTCGGTCTCTGTGCGCATGCTGTGCTGGTGCAGGGCGCTCAGGAGAGCAGGGCTGTGGGGGTGCGTAGGGGACATCCGCCTAAGAGTGCCGAGACTGGGGTACACTTCCTCTGGTTGACCTTGCTGGATGGCCCTGGACCAGAGCGGAGAGCAGGGTCTTGGAGAGGGCCCTGACACTAGCTTGTCTAGGGCGTGGGTACAGCCACAGCACAAGTGTATTCGAGTAGGCTGACTAAGATACGTCAACAACAAACAGAAATGACAGCAAGTTAGCTGGGTGTGGTGGCGCACGCCTATAATCCCACCACACAGAGGCTGAGGCAGGAGGATCGTTGTGAGTTCGAGACCAGCCTGGGCTACAAAGTGAGCTCAAG